CTAATAAATAAGTTTAAAAAATTAATTAGGTCATAAAATTTTGTTATGAAACAATTTATAATTTAAAATTGAGATAATATATCCATTTTATTTAATTATTTTTATTATATTTAAATAAAATGAAATACATATTGTCTACGAATCATATTTTAACTGAGAAAACCATTATTTTTAGATTACAAGTTTCTATTAGAATTCAAACTCTAATACATAAAATGTTGAAGTACATAGATACACAATGTTGAAGCTTATGGATAACAAGATACAAGGCAACCACCAGTGGTTTAGTTTTGGTGATAACAAAATTTGAAGTGAAACCAATTAAGGAAAGTAGTTCAAGCGGTCAAATATGTACATGATTTGATTATGACAAGGTTGATAAATCTATCCTCACAAATTAAGTTAAATATACTTGTTTAAAGTCAACACTGTAATCCAACCATTCTCAAGTGAAAACTTAAGATTTATGATCATTGGTGGTTTAAATTCAATATCTCAGATGATGGATGGTAAGTGACATGGAAATATCTCAAGTCTCATAAAAAAGACTTAAGGTTATTATGTGATGCTAAAATCAAATATAATAATACGAAGACTTGAAGCTTCAGAGTATAAAAGAGAAGAAGTGTGAAAACTCGCTTGATCGTGTTAGTTTGAGAGATCAATGTCTTGTAAAGATACAAGGGTATTTAGATAAGTAATATAGTTAAATCACACACACACACAAAAAAAAAAAAACATTGAGAAACCTCTCATTATTTAATTAAAATCACAAAAAAAATGTTTGTGGGGCCTAGCCAGTTGTTTTGGGAAGTGACCAATTGATTAAGATAATTTTTGAAATTGTCTAATCGATTATATTTTTGGCCTAATCTTTTAGGTGATGCCTAATTGAGTCTCTGATAGATTATGATATTCTCTTAATAATTTCTAATGACTCTCTATCTAAACATTCTATTTTGGATCACAACAATCGCCTATTAGCATCAGGGTCGTCTCAACCAATATTGAGACCTAAAGTGAATTTTGAGAATTGAGCCTTTATAAAAAATTTTTTTTTGTATAAATAATTTTAAAAAAAAATATTTTTTAGACTTTTTGAGATATAAAATCGTTTATTAAATTATCATAATAGATTTCTTGTAAAAAAAATTCAATATATAATAAAGTCAATCCATTTGATTTTATTGAGACACTGTTGATCTTGGATATAATTTTATTATTATTATTTTTTTGAAAAACTATATTCTACAAAAGTACAGAAATTGTTAACATTATTCTAAAAGAAAAATATGCATTTGAGAAAGAATTAATTCTTTTTATATAATTTAATATATCAATAGGTGTATAATTTTCTACATGTATAATTTCTTTTAAGATATTTAGTTCTGTAAATAAATTCAATCCATCAATATTTGAGTTTTCATTATGTTTTAATGAACGTTCAAATTAAAATAATATTCTTTTAAATTTTTATTATTTAATGATCTTATTTTCTCAATGCTAAAAAGAAATCTAAAAATATGATTATACAATTTGTTCAAACATATTTTGAAATGAAGTAATTGCTTTATTTATTATGTATAAAGAATCACCAGTTTTAAAATATTCTTCGGGAGATTTAACAACTTAATTATCGACATTCTCATTAAATTGTTTCTTTCTATAAATAGTTTGTTTTTCACGGAATTTGGATTCCATATCCATTTCAAAAACAATTTCTTTAGTAGAAATGAGAGCAGTTTCAAAACCATGTTGTCTATATTTAATATAAAAAATGTAACTAAACTTTTCAATTGTTTTATAGCAACATCAATTCGTCTATCCTTAAAATAAATAAAAAATTTACTAACTGACTTTAATGCAAACAATATTTTGTACCAAATAGTCATGTCTAACAAAAACTCAAAATTTTCAAGCGTAAAAGTTGTAAAACGTTCAACTTCATTTTTTATTTTGTATTTTAGGTTCGTCGTTACGTTCACCTAATTTTAATAAAACATCTCTTATTTGTGAATTTTGAAATCTCAAAGGTTTTACACTTTCAATATGATTTTCTCAATGCGTTTGTGACATAGATTTAAGAGTTAAACTAGGGATATAATCTTGTAGAATTTTCCATCTTTTACTAAAAGAATAAAATATTGTATAGATTTGTTGTAACACTCCCAAAAAAGGGTGTAGCTTTAAGACAACAATTAGCCATGTCACAAAGCACTAAATTTAGACTATGACAAATATTTTAAAATTTGAAAACCGAAAGAATTAAATTAACAAACAAATAAAATTTTGAAAGAAATTAAAGTGATGATTGAAAGAACTGAATTAAACACAAGGCTATAAGCAAATAAAAAAAAAGTTAATAAATTGAATAATTCAAGATAAACAACACATACCTATAAATAGTGACGTAATACGGGATAAAATTTGGGATTTAGGGAGAACAAGTTAATAAAAAAGAGTTAAAGAGACTTGAGAGCAAAACTATGAAATTGAGAGTAAAAGAGAAAGAGAAAGATAAAAAGATAATGTGTGCGCTAACATTAAAAAGGGTGTGATGTAAATAACAATGTTAATAAAGGATTGAATGGAAATTGCAAACGCTAAGGGTGCAAAATTGCAACTTATAGGATATGTCAATCGACAATGGTAATTAAGCAGTAGAATTAACAAATTTAATTATTTCTTTTAATTAATAATAATTGGTAAACAATTTATACACAAAAATAAATTCTTTCTTAAAATTTAAAAATCGCGATTATATATATATATATATATATATATATATATATATATATATATATATATATATATATATATATATATATATATATATATATATATATATATATATATATATATATAATTGTTTAAAAAATTAAAATTTTGGGGCCTAAAGCGAGGGCTTTGCTAGTCTAAGAATTGAAAAGGCCCTGATTAGCATTCCCTAATCGATTAGGTGTTGACTTAATTAACATGTGTATTGATCTTGTCAAAGTAATAATATAATTCCTCTCCACATGAATTGCTAATTTTACAAGGTAATAACAATGCGATGTAAAATAAAAAATAAGGGTTTTTAATAGTGATGCTATGAAAACAAAAAGAAAAAATTGTCCGAGTAAAATTCAATAAGGAAAAGCAATTAAATCTTTATTTCAAATCCCCTAATTATACTTGTCGATGAATTGTGTATTAAATGAATTACAATTAGGTTATAATCTTACGAAAAATTAACAAGACCACTATATTAAATTTCTTGGTGTGCAACTCATTAATTTACACAATAATTCCCTAATTACTTAGGCTAATTCAGAGTTTAATCAGAAGTTTCTATGTTTGTTAATTCAAAAGCCAGAACTTATAATCACTTATTCCTAGTTAATTATTAAGTTGAATAATTGTCCTAAATCGGTAGACTTGTAGTCCATAATCTCTACTCATCTAAGATCACTTGTCCTCGTCTTGTTAACACACAAATAGCATTAAGTACAAGAGTACAATTAGGTTTATCTAAAAAGGCCTAATTTAAAATAATTTAGCTACTCATAGTGAAATTAACAATTACCATGAGTTGATAAGAAGTATTCAGCAAAATCAATGAAAAATAAACTTCCAATAGCTCCAATGCTCTCCAAATTCATGCTCCAAAACTCCAGACTGTCACTTTCTCTCTAAACTTAGAGCCTCTAAAAAAGTAGCCAAAAGTCCCTTTATATAGCAGCTAATGTGTGTCAAAAAAAGCGCTTCATTGCGATTGTGTTGGTTTTCATCGTGATCGCAATATGACATCATCGCACCCACGATGTCAGCATAGCGACTGCAAGAAAAACAATGGTAAACCTGTTTTTTTCTTATTTTTCTTCCAATTTTAACTCGTCATACTCCAAATTTACACTACCCTTCCATTCAATTCATCTGACTTAGGACTTTGTTCATTTGCATACATCTGCCTATTGATCATGCATTTAGGATCCATTCATATCATTCATTTACATCTTAGGTCAAAGGTTCTTTATCATTATTGGTTTCAACTTGATAAAGTTGATTGTCTCTATATGAGTTATTACTTCATGATCATATGATTTTCTCAAATTGAGATTTTATTATGTAGATCATTCTCAATATGTGGTGGTCAGATGAATCTCCATGAATTAAGATTTTGTTTTTGCTTACTTATGGAACAAGTTACTTTGGATTATTGGTCATCATATGAAATGTTTGGAATTGGGAAAGATAGAGGAGTTACAAGACATTTGGATCATAAGTTGACTTTTGGTCAAAGTCAATCACGGAAAGTTGACTTTTTGACCAAGTCATTTTGACCTTTTATGCATGGCCATTACTACATTCTTGCTACAAATTTGATATACTCAGTGGCTACCATTCAAAAAGAATTCAAATTCAAACAAGGAGGGAATTTCATTAAGTATTCAAAAGGTTGACTAAGTCTCATGGATTCTTTGTTAGACTAGCTACTACTTATTAATCAAGAGTTCCAATTGGACTTATTCATTCAAGATGCAAGATTGATACTTTATTACTTGGAGCACAAGGTACATGAAAAAGTCAAATGCTACATGAAAGTCAACATAGTCAAGAAAGGTCAAAATCCATTACAAAATACCAAGGGTGCAAGGAAATACATTACACATTGAAAAAGTACACAAAATTACATGTTTGACCTAAATTTGACTTTTGGCCAACTGTTGACTTTTTGGTCAAACAGTTGACCAAAGTCTTTACACCGACCCTAATACTACTCTTGACCTATTCTTCAACTTCTATCTTGCTATCATCTAGCCTTGATCCCATGTTGCCAAAATTATGTATGAATCATGTGTGCATCTTCATGTACCATGTGCCTATGCATTGTGTCAACGTGTTGCAGCTAAGCCATGTCCAAAGAACGACCTGGTACTTCATGACAACCTGATACTTCATCTGCTACACCAATCCAGACCAGTTCACAAAAATATATGATAGCATCTGCATAAAACATGCTGCAGCAATACATGAACCAATTCAGACCATGCACCATGTGTTCCCAATGCCATGTACTGATTCATGTACATCAACAAACCTGCAACAACCAGACCTGTCACCTGCATCATGAAAGGGCCTGCACAACGGGTTTAAACATGTTAAGCACATCTACAAAATCAGTACTAGTCATCACCATATCAACTAAAAGGAGCAAAAGCAAATTATATCATATCAGCAAAAACAAAACAATGCAACAGCTCAAATGCGGTCAAACACCAGTACAAATTCAATACATTATGTTCTAACAAGCTATCCAAAAGCACCATGACAAGATAATCCAATTAATGCCATGATCAAAATTCATCTCATATTCCAGTCATGGGAATTATGCAGCAAAAACAAGTATTTATCATCCAAAAAGTTCAGAATTCCAAGTGTGCACTAAAAGCAATTCAAGGCAAAGTCAATTTCAAACAAAAATCATCCAGTTACAGTTCAGAACAGAGCAATTTTCATGCAGCCAATCATGCAATATGAATTCAAGGCAAATTAACAACACATCAAAATCCACATCAATGCAATGCATGATTCCATCATGCCATGATGCACAAATTTAGCCGGCAGACATAGTTACATTCTAATTCATCAGTTCACAATACAAGATCAATGCAATACCTACAATTCAGCTATGCACTCAAGAAATCACATACAGTTTTGCCCCTGTCATCACCATACTCAATGCAAGTAGAAACAGGACAGTGTAAATTGGAGGCTATGCTAACATGTCAGTTCAGAAAAAAGGCACTCATAATCTACCAGTTCAGACCAGATAACATACAATGCAGAGACAGTTTGAAGAGCTACAAGGGTCAGATGAGAAACATACAGCTCAAGACAGAAAAATTGAAAAGGGAAAGTCAATGTTGAAACAATATGAATCCAAAACCAATGCATATGATGCAGATATGTACCACACTCTTCACTTAGTTAGCCCAAACCTTTAATTGCCTTCAAACTCCCACCCATCAACTAACTTTTAACCTCATTTACTAACCTAACTAACCATATAATAGTCCAATAACCAACCATTAACCTTTAACCTCTTTTTGCAGTAAAATTTCTAACTGTTTATTTTTTAGTCAATTAATTTTGACTTTTCTAACTAACACCAATCCCTAATCTAATTTATAACTATTTTTCCAAATAAAAACCATAACTGTCTCTAACCCTAATTACCTAATCTGATTTTTGCACTGAAACAAGGCCAAAAGATACAAAAAAACATTCAATTTTCTTCACTCAACTAAACTATATCCTAACAAACTTTTAAATCATCTTCCATTCTTGATTAAAATGAGCCTCGGATCACCATCTTGTGGCACACATTCATCCATCCCTAACTAACTTTCCAACTGAATTTCCCTCCTAAACTTCACCCTCACTCACCTATAAAACCCCTACATTCTCACCTTCATCCTCAAACAATCAATACCCTATCCTTACTCTGTCCAAATTTCTCACCATCCCGCACATTTCACCAAAAGCTCTTTCTTCCATAGTTGTTAGAGCTTCAACATCTGAAGCTCTAAATAGTTGAGCTTAGCCTCCATCGTTATCTCATTCTCTAATCTGTGGCATTCAACTCCCAATCCCTCACTCCCAAGATTCAAATCTCCTATCTCTCTGCAACAATCATCAATCATCATTGTTATCCCATCTCTACTCTATTGTTCAGACAACAACAATTCCAAAAATCCAGAATTTGGAACCTACATTTCTCCAAATTATTCATCTTTTCCCCTCTTTCGTGCTACCTCATTGTTGCTTGGACATTAATGAGTAAAACCCCTAAGTCTATTGTCTGGCTCCATGCACGTACGGCGTTTAATTTCAGTTTGAAGATCCTTAGGGTTTTTGTTTTTTACTCGAATTGGAGAAGATTAGCTAGTTTCTGGAAGAAAAAAAACAATGGTCATGGTTGAATAGAGCGTAGAGAGAGTGTTCTGGTGGTGGTCCTAATTTGATGGATGGAGGAGCCCCCCCCCCCCCCCCCCACCCCCCCCCCACCCCACCCCCACCCCCCACCCCCCCCCCCCACCCCCCCCCCCCCCCCCCCCCCCCCCCCCCCCCCCCCAAAAGGCGATTTTCGGTGCGGCGCGGCGGGAAGAGCAGAAGAGAGAATGAAGATTAAAGGGATGGTGAGATGGGCGTGGGCTGAGGCTTCCCCGAGGATTTAACATCCTAAAGAGCATGAAAAGACCTGAATCCTAGCTAAAATATTTTTTTCAAATTTCAAATTTTCAATATCACATTGTATTTTTCAAATTCACATAGTGATACTATTTCAAGGCAATAATGGAGATTTCACCGAATAGTAAGTAATTTATAATTTTTTTTTTAAATATTCAGTATTTTGTATTGGAAATTTTTAAGTTTTTGATATTTCTTAATTGGAAATTATGAAATTTTTTATTATTGTGTTACATTCCAAAAGTTTATTTTTTTAATCGGAAATTTCAAAATTTTTGGTAGTTCAATTATTTTTTTAAATATCAAAACTTTCAAAATTTCTGGTAGTTTATTTTTTTTCCCTTAATTCTTTGTTTCACTGAGGACCGGAAGAAAAGACAGTTCCATTGCGGGTAGGATGGTTGATAGAGCGGAAGTTCGGGCTCAGGTTGATGAGGCACAAGCTCCTTAGTTACGGGCATGACGACGTGATATGACTGGTTCCCATCAGAAACAGATGGCTGAGCAGCAGGCCCAATTTTGTGCACCCCGACGGCGGATTGTTAGAGTTTCTACTCTGTGGAGGCTCTTGCTCTTGTGAATGTGTCTGCTTTTGTGATTGAGCAGGTTGTTGTGGAGCTGACTGTTGAGGAGGCTTTGGCACTTGTGCGGGAGGTGATGGTTGAGCAGGTTGTGGAGCCTGTGGAGTCGGATGTAGAGCAGGTTGAGGAGGTTAATGAGGTGTCCCTCGCTAATATAGACGCCACGAATCATGCGTCTATGGAGTCATCAGTTCACACTAATGGAGCCTTTCCATGAGGACCTACAAATAGGCCCGAGTTGACAGGATTTACTGAGCATGTCGCTTACAGGATATGGCATGGCGAGGTATATAGTTTGCTTTTTATTATTGTAAGTGTTTTTGTGCAAAAAATTTCAAGTGTTTGAAACTTGGTGTATATGTTTTTTGATTCTTTGTTTCTTACATGAGCAATAGGTGTTGAAGGTCGTTTCCCATGGTTCGAAGTTGAAGAACTTTCTAGAGGGTGAGATGCCTGAGGAGGTCAGGCGTATTGTTAGAGAGTTTCATCTGCTCGAGTTCGTTGAGTGCTCTTTGACCATGTTGGACGCCTCCCCGTTGTCTACTTTTGTTGAGAGGTGGCACCTAGAGACATCATTCGTTCATCTTTCATTTGGGGAGATGACAGTCACATTAGATGATGTCGACACCCTGTGTCATATTTCAATTACTTGTACATTCTTCACACCTCATTATATTAACCATGCGACAATGGTGCGCATGGTTATGGATGACTTGGAGGTATTTGAGGCGAAGGTTCTAGAGGAGTTTGGCGTTAACAAGGGATATCATCTTTGAATGTCTTAGCTTTGGGAGAGGTATGAGGAGCATATGAAGGCACATAGGTATCAGGATGCGACTAGGGCGTACGTGCTACATCTGGTGGCATGTACTCTCTTTGCGGACAAGTTTGGAGTTTATATTGATGTTCGCTACTTGTCTCTGTTCAATACCCTTGACACTCTATGTTAGGCTTGGGGAGTGGCGGTGTTGACCATGTTGTACATGACACTTGGATCTTCCTGAAATTCGATCTTTGTCACCCTTCTGTTATCAGAATCAGGAAGCAATTCATTCAACTTTTCTTTTAAGTTGGAAAGAGATGTGGTTCCATCTGGAAGTTTGAATTCAACATGAGGGTTATTTCTGTTATAATACACTTATGCCTTAATCAAAAATCGAGGAAGAGGCTTTTTTAATGTCTTTCTCTATAACATATGTCGTTACTTATACAAGTGGTGATACATTCTAGACCACACAAACTTTTCGATGCAATCAAAACCTTCCAAAGATGTCGGTAAAATTTTGATCGTTACAAAAAACGTGAATACATGAACTACCGGAAATTTCAGTATATCTCAAATTTCTGACATTGTCTAGTAAATTTGAAATTTCTGGAATACCGAAAATTTCAAATACACTACCAGAAATTTAAACTAACCGAAAATTTTGAAAGGGTCTACCGAAAATTTTCCCAGTACTGGAAATTTGAATACTTCTATGGGAAATTTCGTCAAGAAATTCTTTGTATCTCACCAGGAGTAATTCTAGAATAATGAAAATTGGGGGTGGGGGTATCATGTTTAATTTGAGGGGTGTCATGTTAAATCCTCGTCTTCCCCTCTGTCTGAAATTCATGTGGGACTTTACCCATTATTGTCTTCTAAGCCCAATAACATTTCCAACGCACCCTCTGAATTTCCATTTACCATACTTCTTTTTTATTTATTTATGAAAACACACATGTTGTACCCCAAAATTTGCCCTCCCATTTCCTCAACATTTTCTCATCACAAGGCCTTTGAAGATCAAGATCCAGTTAGGGTTTCCTCTGCTCAAGACTTCTCCTTGCACTGTGGACTCAACTTAGGGTTTGTGTTTGCCCAAGGATGTTTTGACCTAAAATGCCTAAGATGACTTTCATGCTTCATATTGGACTCCCAAGCTTACCTATACCAAGTTTCAAGTCTTGATTCCAAATTTTGCCCAGTCAATTGGACAGTTGACCTATAAATCAGCTGTATTGGGGAAAAAGTCAACTGTGGCCAATTGACAGTCAAACCTCATGAAATTTGACCCACATCAACATTATGAACTCATATGGACCATTTGATCAAGTTTGGATCACAATTCCACAAGAAATTTGATCAGATCACCAAAAGGGCAAAATGGTCATTTTTAGGGTTTTGACTGCACAAAGGCAATTTTTGACTGTTTGACCTAGCCAATGGCAAACCAAGTTCACATATGGACTCAAGGACTCAATGAAATGGTCTTGACACATTCATCAAGCTCAAAAGATCCCAAATGCACAAGATTGACAGTTGAATTTCCCAGTCAATTGATCAATTTTGACTGTATACTGAAAAGTCAAACTTTGACTTTTTGGTCAAAATCAAGAGTCAAGATTCATTTTTCATCAAAACATGCCAAATCATGAAACTTGTTCACCAAGAAATCACAAAATGCAAATTAGGGTTTGAAAATAGAATTTTT